TTTTTTCCAAGTATTTCTTTGTACTAATCAATTTAGACAATATTTGCTATAACAGAAAGATCTTCAGATGAAGAAACATACACAAAATACGGCCATAGTAGGTTATACCAATTTACTTCATGTCAGCACAGCATATTTCAGGCCCGTGATTTCAATTTAACATGAACAACAATAATCTGTACAGAAAACCAAAGGCAACCATGTAGCATTATATGCAAAATGTGCAAATACACTTTAAAATGCAAGTTATTCTATAGCATCTGCAAGGTTGTTAGGAAGGAATCTACGTCATCCTAGCTAACAGCCATATTCCGCACGTATAGCCAATGCAAATGTACAAGGCACAACTTAGTGTTGATGCGAAAGTCTTGTAACACACTTCTTCAGAGTATTTATTTGAAGATATAATAAAATATCATGTTTGTATTTTATTATTTAATGAGACATCAGCTCACTTCTAAAGCTTCATAAAGCATGACACTGATAACATATGCATGGCTAGGACAAACAGTCCCTGAACTAAAAGGTAAGAGACAAGACCCTTTCTATCCTATATTTTAAAAAATTTGTATGTGTGTAGGTGCGTGTGTGTGTATACACACACCACACACACACGCATACACATTCCCATATCACACACAAAAAAGTTCCCATAATCCAAGGGAGGCCATTTCCTTATCAGCAAAGGTCCCATTACAGTATCTCATGACAGTCATTTTAAAATTACATACTTATTTACCAACTGTTTTGGTCAAAAACAAAAAGACTACAAAAAGACACTGAATAGACAATTTTCTTCTTCAAGGCAAAGACAATGCCTAATTTAGAAAGTCTTTTCCTTGAGATTGCACAGTGAAAGGTATTATTTAGTTAAATATAAAAGCTTGCTGCTTTTAAAGAAAATGTTTAAATCCACATGGAGAAAAAAAGTTAACCTACCATCAATCAGTAAGAGCACCAGCCACGGCTCCATTCAAAATCCTTCAAATCCAACCCGATGCGCTTTGTGGTTTTATCATATATTGCCCATCCCTGAGAGTAAACAGTCTATCATTTTTAATTTTTTTTAATAAAGTAAATAAGGTTTGCTTTGATAATAAGAATGATGCTTAAGAACTTTTTACCCAACATATAAAATAGGCCTTATTTCACTATAGTTTAAAAAAAAAAAAAAAAAGACAAGTGTTCTTTGCAAAGACCACCATTCATAAAAATTATAAATATCTGTCTCTCAATCAATTTTAATTTGCTTTTTCACTGGATAATTTCTATTCTATGCCAGTCATATAGCATTCATTTCCTTATAACCCATTATTTTATCATTTTTGTTAATAGGAGCATTTAATAGGTAATGGAGAAAAAGTACAGTATAAAACTTAGAAGAACTCGAAAGTGAAATCTACATATCCCTGTGGCAAAAGAGAGGACAGTTGTAAAACGGGAATAATCTGAATGCCATCCAAGAAAGGCAAAAATATCTATGAAAAAAAGAATACATATGGTAAACCTCTTCCTTGCTTTGGTTTAGCCTTCTTGGCCAAAATCTTCTGTAAACTTCTTTAATTTCAACAAATCATGTTCATTTACTGTGGGTTTTGTGTTAGAAAGCGACCGTAACATATCCGACTGTAGGGAAAAAAGACAAGAAGTATTAATAGCAGACTTAATAAAAGAAAAATCATCACACTACTGTAATTACCATTATCAATTTTAACTTAAGGTTAAATGTGTTTGCAGTGTGCCAGAAATCATGGACAATAAACTATCTTACTCTTTCCAAAGGTGCCCTGGTGTCTCAATGGTGAAGCACTTGGCTGCAAACTGTAAAGGCAGTGGTTTGAACCCACACAGCAGCTTCACAGGAGAGAGACCTGGCATCTGCTCCTGTGGAGATTACAGCCTAGACAATCCCATGGGGCAGTTCTGCTCTGTCACATGGGGTGGCTATGAGTCCCAATCGACTCGGTGGCTACCAACCACCACAACACTCCTTCCAAAGATTATCTTTGTGTCACTGCTTTGTGTAGAAACCTTCCATTCCTCCTTTCATCTTGATCAAAACCAGCACAGTCCTCAGCCTGAGGTTCAAGGCCCCATTCACAATCTGTTTTCACCTTACCTTTTTCTGGTTTTTTTAATTTAAGAGCCAGTGTTCTAAGTGCAACTCAAGGATATAGCCATTCCCCTACTCTATATGCAAAATCTCATTTAATCAAAATTAATCAACCAGATTTAACTAATTAGTTAAAACTGAATCACAGTGGAATGAAAATAAGCTAATATTAGGGATTCATTTTAAAATTTACTTCTAGGCTTTGTCTATGAAAACATTATGAACAGCAGCGAAACACTGTGCAATACAGTGCCGGAAGGTGAGCCCCTCGGGTCTGAAGGCACTCAAAATATGATTGGAGAAGAGCTGCCTCCTCAGAGTAGAGCTGAACTTAATGATGTGGGTGGAGGAAAGCTTTCAGGACCCCCAACTGCTCATGTGCCACATCTCAAAATGAGAAGAAACAGCCGCAAACATCCATTAATAATTGGAACACGGAATGCACTAAGTATGAATCTAGAAAAATTGGAAGTTGTCAAAAATGAAATGGAATGCACAAAGATCGATATCCTAGGCATTAGTGAGCTGAAATGGACTGACTTTGGCTATTGTGAATCAGAAAC